GGTTTAAGTGTTTACTAACTGTTCAGAATCAATAAAAAGCGGTCAACTACCTTTTGAAATTATGGGATTTAAAAGAATCATTAACGTGTATTGAGGTATAAATCAACAAACAACATAAATYTGTTTTATTAACCTCTATTAACTTCAATCCACTTATTATTTTATGAGTAAGAACCCTAACCTATAACAATTTTATCTGTTCTTATAAGTTATAAGTTAGTAGTGTTCACTTATTTGTTTTTTAGTTGTACTTGTTCTTAAATTTGTAATTACATTTTGAAAAATCTTAAGCATTATTAATATAAAATCTTGAAGAGTGAAGACCCCCCAAAAAAAAATTTTACATTAGTGCAAATTCCAAAATAAAATAATTAATAAAGTTATTAACTATGAAGTCACCTATCTTAATAATATTTTTTAATTAATCATTTAAAGATAGACATGATTATTGATGAAATGTACTTTATTTTGTTTTGTTCATTGAATTAAAAGTTATAACTTTATTTAGACCTATATATTCCTATTCTTGTAGAAAATTAAAATGGAAAACTAATAGTTGAAAATATTGTTTTTTTTTTCTTTAGAATTCAGAAATAGATTCAACTGAAACTGAACAACCAGATAATCATATCACTGATGAAATAAATGTTAAAGATGATGGTGATGATTTTGAGACTTTCCTACAAAACAATTCCAGTGTAATATGTGATACCAAAATTCTGGTATCCCAAGTTCTTCTCAAGACTCTAATAGTTCTACATTAAAAAGACTTTTGGAAGAGTTTTCAAAATTCGAAAGATTAAATTATAAGGAAGATATTGTGAAGTTTTGGACTTCAAAAAAATATGAGATGCCAGAATTATTTGAATTATCACAAATGCTCTTARCAGTACCAACCACACAAGTATTATATTATTTAAATATTAAATAATTAGCAGTTAAATTCACAGCTAAGAACATTTTTAATTTTAATTGTTCTTATTTGTTACTATATTAATTAAAATATAAAATTACCTATTATAAATTATTATTTATTAGTATTATCAGGTTCAGGTTTAAATGATATTATGAACATTTTAATTTATTTTATATGTCAATGGTTTTTGTTCTAAAAAAGCTTAGAGATATTCCTATAGTATCAGTCAGTTTTTTACTGTGTGGCAAACATAATAATTATATTGTAGTATTGTATTACAAATTTTGTATTATCTTTTTATGAATCACACTGATAGCTATGCGAGTCATAGTCAACTGCGTGACCACTGGCGCTCTAGCTCCACTTAAGATTTAAGAAGTTTTTTGTATCTTATTAAAATTCTTTGTTTGGTAATTTTATATCATACATTTTAATTTATAAACACAAATACTTTTTATATATCACTATGAATTAATGATGTGTTGTGTCATCATGTACACTSTACGTAGTTACATTTTACATACTGTACATAGTAGTATGTTTTGCAATTTATTTAATATTTATATTTATTTCATTGTACGTAAATTATAAAATTAAAATTAAATTAACTAGTAACAAAAAAAGTAATTTGCAAATTTTAACATATAACTAGAATTCTATAACCTCCCCCTATTTTTCAAGAGTCAAGACTAGTGTTTCCTTCTAAAAAAATTAAAATATAATAATGAATACTACAGTTTTAAGTTTTAACAACGTTTTTAAGTTAAATTTGAATAATGTTTAACTCTAAATTATTCATAACGTTTAAACGTTATGAGTATTTAATTTCTATAACATTTAAACGTTTAA